CCTTCCTTCCTTCCTTCCTTCCTTCCTTCCTTCCTTCCTTCCTTCCTTCCTTCCTTCCTTCCTTCCTTCCTCTGCCCAACTTCTTTACAACTCTGGGCATCATCAGACCATTGCATGCTATCCTGTAGGGTAATGTTTTGGAAAATATATGGCTTCTGGGGGTTCTCCTGGTTCTGAAAGGCATTGTCACACTAGTCTTTTCCAATGTGGGCTTCAAAAATGTATAATAGATCAAGTCAGAAGTTTTGAAGGGTTTTAAAACTTAATTGTATTATTGTGCATCTATGTGCCATATAGGTGACAACAATTGGACCAAATCTGAAAGGAGGAATGTGGAGACCCAAAAGGTATAATGTGTTCCCTCCTTTGAGTAGTGAATCAATCCCTAAAGCAGGAGCAGAGAAGTGTCTACAAATTCGTGTGAAACCAATAAAACATTTATATCCTAATTTAACCATATATACTCAGAAATTAAATCATATTAAACATAATACAGCAAGTGAATTAAAACAGTGGAAGTTAATCAGAAGTTATATGCTGTACAAGCAATCAGTAAAATTGGTAACAGCCTGCTGCTTCAATAAAATAATCCCATCTATAGTATTTTATCACGTAAAATATTTTCTCTGATTTTTGTTTCCTCTCTAATCATGGATACCAGTCCCAGGACATATAAAAGTCAATAGTCTGAGGCTACCTAGTTCCATGTGCAGATGTTTGTGTGTGCATTATTGGATAGGAAAACCAGAGAGCCAATAGTCCAAGATGATTCTGACAGCAGCTGCTGGGATTGTCCAGAGGAAATTGGGTCCAGAAATTTGTTCAAGGGAAGTTCCATCCTTTGCTTCTCTCTTCAGGTACACCTATTTTCTTCTCATAAAGAATCAGTATCAGGAAATACTAATGAAAGAATGTGGACCGGCAGAAAGGGGCATGTGGAAAGTGGGTTTGTAGAGGAGGTCTTTCTGAATAGTTCCCCTTTTCTCCATCAGATAAAGGTTTCTTGATATAGTAACAACTAACTAGAACTTCATGTTGTTTTTAGAAGTCTTTGGGTCAATAGATTCATTTCCCATTTGCCACCAATCTCCCTTTTACAATGCAGTACTTCTACCAACTTGCAATGCACATTTTAAAAAAAAGTGGCTTCAACTGCACAGTCACAGCTGCATTCTTGACTTTCTGACCCCCCGCCCCCACCCTGAGATGACCTTGGCATCCCATACCAAACAATCCCTCTGAATTTCTTGATTCAGGTATCTAAACTCCTATTGCATCTCTTTGTTGATCAGCCTTGGGAAGTTCCCTCCTGGCCTTCATCATTTCTACAGGTGATCTCATTGCTTTTTTGTCATATTATAGCTAATAGCACCAATAATTGTGATCATTGCAGAGTCACTTCATCATAAGCTTCACACTTAGTCCACAGAGGCTTAGCCATCAGGCATCTTAGGGTTGTGTGGCTAGTAGCACACACAAATGTCTCATACCAGATCATAAATACAGCTATGGGCAGGGCTGGGAACTTTCTCTGGATTTGGAAGTATTCCTTATTATAGGTAAGAATGGGGTTTTTTTCTGTTTGTTTGTTTACTAAATAAGTAGAGGAAATCTCTTCTAATGTAGTGCTGCACTCTGCCTCTGAATTCAAATCCTTCCATTTTGAATTTCCAGCTTATTAACAAATGTATTTATTATATTATCTGAAGATCTACCTGGAAGCTAATGGCATTTTGCTTAGTTTGTCAAACAAATGCAACATACTTGGTCCTTTCTGGCAACTCACAAGACCCAGCCTAGATGAGTGATGGTTGTGTAACAATATTTCTACATAAGTTATACTCAGTAACTAGTGTAAGACATTTCACACTGCATTTGTATGAAAAAGTACTCAGAGTTATGTGCAGTGACTTGGTGATGATGTAGTGTTTACACAATGCGCTACCTAGCATCTATTTGCATCAGTATAGTGAGGCAGTTGAACAATAACTTTCAAACTAGCTACAACCAAGGTTACTAAAAATGCACAGCAGCTGTTGTAACCTCAAATTCTTGAACATATTGTTCTTTATGCACACATTAGGGGCTAATTATCCTCTACATTCCATTTTCATAAACAAATGATTATTGAGTTTTATGGCAGCATATAAACAGGCTTAGAGCAGACCAAGCTCTTTTATGTTCCACTTGCACTATTTCAAAAATTGGAAAAGCCACATTTAAAACAAAAAACTAAAAACCAGAATTTACGGCTGAAGAAAAAAATGTGCATACTCAAAAAAGTTTTACAGCTCAGGAAATCCTTGAAAAATAAAAACAGGAATGCTTACATCATTTTAATTATAGATATCCAGCCCAGCATGCCACTACTGTGTGATCTAATGTCTGATTCGAATGGACAAGATGTTTACAAAACTGGAGAATAATGGAGGAGATTTTCAGACATCCTCTAGACACAATTGGGACGCTGCTCCCCAGCTGCAGTTCTAAGTGAAGAGTATGTCACTTGATGCTTCAAATGCCTGCCTGGTTTGTCAGGTGATTGATAACAACCGGGCAAAGTTGGAAGACACAAGATTAAAAGGGGATAAAAATAGTGCGATTCAAGCTCCATTATTGATGCAGTAAAGGCTTTTCTCTTTTGCCTGAATAATCGTTTTGGGCTAAGAAAGCTGTCAAGATAGTGGTTGGGGAAGAAGCAATGGAAGGAAGAAAGAGTTGGGGAATGTTTAGATTTGTATGCTAAATAGTCCAAATTCTGCAATAATAATTTTTACATTGTGTAGTCAGGACAAATGTATTTTTACAGCTGTTACAAATTTTACAGCTATTACAAATGTATTGCTACAGCACAAATGTATTTTTACAGCTATTATTTCTGCTTCAGTGATTTTTTTTAAAGAAAGAGAATAACAGTAACAACAACAACATCAGCCTATGCCAGGTCCTTGGGAAGGATTCGATAGGTGGATAAAAATGCCAAATCCAGTCTAAACAGAAACAATCTAAACAGATAGGAAGAGGTTAATCTACATACTGCTACCAAAAAAGGATATTTAACAGAACATATAAACTGTCGTATAATATCCTTAATTGCATATGGTAGAAAATTAATGCTTAGGATCATCCAATTAGAGTTCTGCATAGAAAGGGAGATGCCAGATGTTCAAGCTGGCTTTTAAAAAGGCTCAGGAATATGAGACATTATTGCCGATGCACCCTGGATAATTGAGAAAGCCAAAGAATACCAAAAAAAAAAAAAGTTAGTATGTGCTTAATTGATTATAGAATTACCTTTGACTGTGTCGACCATATCAAGCTGTGGAATGTACTTAGGAAAATAGGAATCCCAGAGCATCTCATTGTCCTCATGTGAAACCTACAGACAGGTTGTGCCACAGTACAGGCAGAATACGAGGAAACAATCTGGCACTAGGTTGGCAAAGAAGTAAGACAAGACTGTGTACTCTTCTCTTATTTATTCAACCTATATGCAGAATATATATTGAGGGAAGCTGGATATGAATAAGATGAGCATGATTTTAAAATGGAGGAAGACTTCAAGACTTCTTTGGAGATGTTTATAATGCTGGGAAAGATGGAAGGAAGGAGAGGAAGAGGACTTCCCACAGCAAGGTGGACAATCAGTATCAATGGACTCAATCATGGTGGCAGTACACTGTTGGAAGACCTGAAGGACCAGGTTGGGGACAGATCCTCCTGGAGAAAATCTGTCTATGTAGTCACTAAGAGAAGACATCAATTTGATGGCATATAATCAAGCAATCAAAATTATACTTTTTTACTAGTTTCAAATTTTCCTTCCTCAGGCCTTTTGGAATATTTGTACATAACTCCTTTGGTTAATTGAACTGTTTGATGTTCAAAATACAGTGGATCTGCTATATTTCCTGTTACTATTGCGTTGATTTAAAAACTGTGACATGTTATTTCTGGAAAAATGTGTTTGATCTTCTTCCTCATGCTAAATGGATGCTATGGGATAATTCAGGTCTCAAAATTGATTTTAAAAAAGTTCTGTGGCTGGACAGATTTTTGGATCTTTACATGAAATAAAGCAGGGCATAATAACAATGAGTTTTATCATTTTCTACATTGAAAGATAAATAACATTTGTTAGTTGCCACTCACTGACAGTATTTACAATTACAATATTTACTGACATCTTGATTTGGACCAGTACCAGTTTCAGCCTCTGAAACACCTGCCATTAGTAGGAATCACTAAAACCTACAAGACCAGAAAGCCCACAATCAGTTTGCTCTAAATATCTGTTATCAACAAATAAATTGATATGCAAATTTAAAAGACACAAAGCCAGCTTGGTGACCTTGGCCAGTCCCTTTCTCAGCCCTAGGAAGGAGGCAATGGCAAGCCACTTCTGAAACATCTTGCTAAGAAAACTGCAGGGACTAGTCCAGGCAGTTGCCAGGAGTCAACACTGATGCAAAGGGGTGTGTGTGTGTGTGTATGTGTAGTATGTGTATGTATATGTGTGTATATGTGTGCATGTGTTTGTGTGTGTGTGTATGTATGTACCTCCCCTCTCACCCCTATGAGTGGTATGTGTTTTCCTCAATCTCAGGTCCTTATCTCTGGGGGGATGCTGTTCTAGAGGGTGGGGGCCACAAGAGAGAATGCAAATAATTAGCTGATGAGAATGTCATGGGGAATCTTGTTAAAAGCTTTGCTGAAATTGTGGTAGATTTTGTCCACAGCATTCCCTTTGTCCACCAAAGTAGTTACCTGGTCAAAGAAGGAAATGAAAGTTTTCATATATGATCTATTTTTGACAAAGCCATGCTGAGTCTTAGAAAACCCAGTACTGTCTTCAAGATTTAACAGATAGCCTATTTTATAATCTCCTCTAGCATCTTTCCAGGAATTGATGTCAGGCTTACTGGTCAATAATACCAAGATTCTATTCTATTCTATTCTATTCTATTCTATTCTATTCTATTCTATTCTATTCTATTCTATTCTATTCTATTCTATTCTATTCTTCCCTCCCCTCCCCTCCCCTCCCCTCCCCTTTTTTTCTTGCAGAACAGGACCATAATTGTTTTTCTCCAATCCTCTGTCATTTCCCCAGTTCTCCAGGATTCCTCCAAGATAATTGACAAAGGTCCAACAGCTCTTCAGCCAATTTCTTCAGTGTTCTGAGTTGTATCTCACCAGGGCCTAGGGACCTGAAGGTATGTGAAGAGCATCTTGTTCTGTTGGCTGCAGTGGGAGAAATATGTTCTAAACAATACCTTCGGACCACCAGGAACAGGATATTGGAGCACTATAAGGAGAAAAAATATAGTTGGTATTGGTTGCCTTGGGTCTAGGAGCCAGGAAGAGACAAGAGTTCCCACTAATGGGAAAACAGCTCACCTACAAGCTCTGCAAAGCTCCAGTTTGCAGAGGGGAGAACCCACTTTGCTCCACTTTCAAATAAATTGGTATACTGCTAAAACTAAATTGACTCAGCTTCCCAAGGCAGCTGACACTGTGACTTCAGATAGTCTGAAGCTGCTTCTGAATGGGTATAAAGCCCCAACATACACATGCTCTAAGGACTGATTAAATAATTTGAGTTTTATGTTACATATTGCCATAGATGTGACTCTGGGCAGCATACAAACAAACCATAAAAAAAAATTTAAAAAACAATCAGGAAGTACAAAAATTAATATTATTATAAAAAGGCTAAGAGAGGGTGTCAGATTACAAACAATGGAGCCATCTCACCAGATCAAAAAATTGCATATTTTTAGAATACCATAAGGCAGGTATTCTAAAGTCTTTTGACACAACTCCAAACAGGATTTTAGTTGGCCAGTTCAAATATTAGCCAAAGGTGATCAAAGGATGGGTTCTGATGAGAGTAACAATACTCCCTAGCCATTCTGTCTTGTATGTGAGACACTCCTATGCTTCTTTTTTTCTCTATCTTTTTCATGTGCAATCAATCTGCTGTGGAAATAAGTACAACATAGTACCTCTTTCATATAATGCAAATCAAGTGACATAAATCAGTGGACAGTGTTGCATTGTGGTAAAAGCATGTGGTTTCATCATTTGTATTTATAGCTGAAGAACACAAGAATTTCAAGTAGGAGGTCATGAAGGCTGTTCAGATTTTTTTTTTTTTTTTTGCTTTTTTAATAGTCCTATAAATAAACGTATACCCATGCAGGGCAGAAATGCATGTTTTAAAAGGAAATGGTAGGAAATTGATTCACACCTGTGCAGTTGTGGAGGTATGTACTGAATTATTATCTCCACCCTCCAGACCAATTATCCACATCATCAGGTAAGCTGAAGCAGAGGGCATCCACGTATCCCTCCCTTGCCCTGTGTCAAAGAAAGAAAATGTAGCCAAAATAGCTCTACAGCTTTGAAGACATTTCCACCATTAAGAGTTATAATACCATTAGACTGGAGCACATAGAACTCAGCAGAGCATGGAAACTGCAATCACCCACCACTACAATTAATAATAACAGCGTTTTCAAAAGAAATGGATTATGAGGAGGGAAATAACACCAGGTGGATGACTTAGGGAGTCCATCATGTGCCACATGAGGGAAATAAAACATTGCAATGTCAAGGAAAACTCCTGCTTATAGATAATCCCTCGACTGTTGATTTCTTCCTATGTAAGTATCTGATCTGTGTGACACCTTCTCTCAGACAGCAAACATACCTTTGGCTAACCCTTTACGTTTGGTAACCATTTAGATACCAGTGGAGCTTGGGATTTAAAGTTACCTCTAGTAAGAAAATTAGATTTCTTCGGAAATAATCAAGATAAATTTAAAAAAAGAATCATAGGCAATACTATACAGAACTATATATCTATCACTTAACATAAATTCAGGCTTTTTCAAAAAAAAAGTCTCTAAAATGTGTATGCACTTTTGTGCACATTTTCCCCAATTTAAAAAGTTTTGTTTGCAATGTTGTGCTTATTTTTGCAAGCAAATTTCCTTTTCTATTATATCCATTTTTGTGTATTCATCTTCTTAATACACTTTTATTGGTGAAGTGCATGACAAAATTAGGAGAAGTGTGAATTTCGCACCAATGCTGAGTTGCAATTTGCGTTTTGATTGAAAAGCAAGAAACTATATAACTTTGTGTTTAAAACCAAGCCAAACGAAATGAAGCATCCACCCCCCTCAAGACACACAATCCATAAAAGGTTTGGTGTGGAATTTTTATATCTCGTCTGATTTCTATGATGAAGTGACTTTGGCTAGCCTCTCCAGGGGCTGGTCATCAAGATGTCCTTTCTTCATGCAAGCAGCTTGTCTTTGAAAAGTGATTTGAACCAACATCAAAATGCAAAATGTATTTATAACAAAACATTCTACCCACTCAGAAATCACTGCAGCAATCAGAAAATGGTCCTGGAATGATATTTCAAACAGGAAAAAAAAAAAAAAACATTTAACATATACACCTATGCCCTCAACCTAGAATTGCCGTTCTGAATCAAAGCTCCCAAATATTTGAGATAAAGTGTGTTTTTCTTACCCTTTAAATGTACTACATTTTAAAATTCTAGCCAACTGTCACTGGGTGAAATATTCTAGTAGACTGAATCCCTGAAAGGAAATATATTTTAGCAGTGACATTTATCAGAAATCATACTTATTATTTAGTCCATCAACACATCAAATATATAGCAATTCTGTCTGAAAAGCAGGATACAGTGGAACCTCGGGTTACGAACGCCTCTGTTAACGAACTTTTTGGGTTACGACCAGCTCTGGCCGCAAAAATTTACCTCGGTTTGCGAACTCCACCTCAGGGTACAAACAGGATACGCGGCCATTTTCCCTCCCGTGACATGGTCCGCGGCCATTTTTCTGCCCCTGGCACGTGGTCTGCAGCCATTTTTCTGCCCCTGG